TTCCTAAGCCGCACTTATAAATATTTCAAGCAAGATACCTTGATGATGAAAGTGTTCACTGAAAACTTCAATTAGAAAAAATACTAATCATCAAATCGTTCTGGAGTCTTATACAAATCACTTTGAGGCATAAATTCAGATTAAATAATTTATATATAAAAAAATAACATGATTTCTATGAAATTTAAAGCTTTCGAATGAAATCCATCACCTGAAGTTAAAGAGTTAAATCCATCTATCTTCTGCAATAATTTGTTGAGGTTGATAAACTTATGATTAAATTAAGCTCACAAACTATTAATTTTGTATTTTGCGTATTGCTGTCATTTCTCTGAATAGATCTCAATGATGTATTGATGTGATTCACATGTTTTGATTGTTTGATTTTGCCCCTAAGTGACATCACCAAAGGAGCAATAACGACGAGGGCTTTCTAACTTGATTATTTGTCATAAAATGGTACTATTATGTGGTCATGTATGAAGCTCTGATGTTTTCTAATAACTTAGCCCTTTTGAGTTGTGAATTATATGGTATACTTGATGGAACACTTTATTAAGTATTCTTGTCAAAACATTCATTTAGGTTTACAATATTTCATTAGATGATGCAGTACAAGGTTGCTGAAAATGATCCTTTAGTTAGGTTGAGTTGATTATCTCATTTGACTAAGTAGATAAGGTTTCATAAAAACTACGATCAATGGAACTATGAGATCATATTTGTGCTTGTCACTGTTCTCACCACCTTCCTCTCCAACTGACCGTAAAACTTTAAATGTTAATTTAAATTACTTTTGTTATATGCTAAGCACTTAGGGACTAACAACGACGACAACAATAAGTTTTTATCGCACGAAGTGTGATCGACTACATGAATCCTTTTTCTCCATCATGTCTTATTCAGAGTCATATTTTCATTTAATTTTAATAATTTAAGATCATTTTTAATACAATATGCTCGAGTCTTTTCAGCTCTACCTCTACCTTCCTTAAAATAAGTCGAATCTAAAACATCTACTCTCCTAACGGGATCTTCAGATGGCTGACGTTTAATGTGATAAAACTATCCTAGGCGACTCTCTCTAATCTTGTTTTTCAGTGGAGCAACACCAACCTATTCACGGATTCATTCTTTCGCAATTTGTCATGAATGTCAAGCCACTCATCAACCTAAGGATTCTCATCTCAGCAACATATAACTTAGCTTTGTCTTCTCTTTTAAAGGCAAACATTCTACGCCATAATGCATTGTAGGTCTCTTCACCATCTTATAAATTTTCTCAAGTTTAAGTGATACTTTTCTATCACACCGTAGGCCCGGTGCATTCCTCCATTTTAACCAACTTGAATTTTATTAATAACATCCTCATCTTTATCATCATCACTTTGAAAAGTAGACCAAGATACCTAGAACGTTAAGAACTTTTAATGATTTGATCACTCATAGTTACAACTCTGCTACTAGTTCTACTGCCACTAAAATTGCATTCCATATATTTAATTTTAGATCTACTCAAGTGAAGATGTAGACCTTCATATTTCATGTTTTTTCTGAACTCTTTTTCTAGCCTTATCCTTAGCTTTGTCTTCTCTTTTAAAGGCAAACATTCTGCGCCATAATGCATTGTAGGTATCTTCACCATCTTAATCCTCTTGTAAATGTCAAGAAGAGTTTTCATAACTAGAACAAAAAGATATTGGCTTAAACCGATCCCAGATGTAATCCAATCGAAATAGGAAAATACATGGTCAATCCTCATTCAGTTCTAACACAGCAACAACAATAATATACATATCTTTATTGACTTGAATATAAGACATATCATTGCCTTTCTTTTCTAGAACTCTTTAAAGAACTTCTTTTGGATTCTTATCGTATGTTTTCTAAATCAATAAAAATTATATATAGATCCTCTTTACTCTCTATGTACTTCTCTATCAAACCTTTCAATAAATGTATAACTTCCATGGTAAACTTGTCCGACATAAATCCAAACTGATTATGAGAAATCTTTGTAGCACGTCTTAACCTATGTTCAATTACACTCTCCCATAATTTTAATCTATGACATGTTAGCTTATTTCCTCTATAGTTTGCACATTCTTGTGCATCCCCTTTATTCTTAAAAGTGGGGACCAAAATATTCTTCCTCAACTACTAAAGCATATTTTTAGTTTTTAAAATCATATTAAAGAGTTTAGTAAGCCAAAAAAATTTCAAATTTCTTTAATACTTCTACAATTCAAATGTGATATCATCATTTCCTACTTACTTTTCACTCTTGATTTTTTTTAAAGCCTCCTTTTATTTTTTTTATTAATGCGACGGTAAAAATAAAATGTTACATTATTATTAATGATATTTAAATCATTAAGGTCGATCGTATTTTCAGAAATGTCATCGAAATGTTTATCAAAATTTCTAACCCAACTATATTAATTATCTTCCTCTAAAAAATGAATTTTTGATTTTCATGTTTAACACGCTTTACATGAATTAAATATTTACTTTTGTTTTTTGTTTGCTTGATTAGCTTATACATATATTTTTCCTCTTTATTTGTATTAAGTCTGTTATAAAGATCACTAAAAGCAGAATTCTTAGCGTCACAAATTCTTCTTTTAGACTCCTTATGCACCGCATTATATTTTTCTCAGTTATCTAAGCTTTTACATTTTAACCAATTTTTATTTCAAAAAATTTTATATTTTATCTTTTCTTGCACATTATTATTCCACCGTCAATTATTTTATTTATAAAACTTATTCTTGTGATTGTCCATATACATATTTTGTCATTTGTTTAATAGTTCTTGTTGCTTCATACCACATAGAATTAGTTTCTTTATGAACTACCAAGTCTTGTAATCTTGAAGTTTGCTTAAAAATAATTTTATGTCTTTTATGTGTGCCATCTAATTCTATGACAATGTTTTGTTGTATTTTTTTTCTTGCAAATGCTTATCTAAAAAATAGAATTAATAGTCAATGTTGAGTACTTAAATTTCATTTAAAATGATTGTTACAATCTTTATATCAATCTTTATATTCTCGAAGCTTTTTTTTTTCTCATAAGAAAATAATCAATTTGGGTTTTATTAGATTCATTCTTATAAGTAATAATATGCTCATCTTTTTTTATTAAATAAAATATTAGCAATAGCAAAATCATTGGCTAAAATGAAATTTAATATGGTTCTACCTACTTGATTAATCACTTCAAAACCTTAGTCATCATGAATACTTCTAAAATCTTCTACCATTCTACCAACATGTCCATTTAAATCCCATCAAATGAAAACTTTTTCTTCAAGTGGAATCATTTGTATTATTTCTTCTAGGTCAGTCTAAATTTCTCTTTTGAACCTATATCTAAACTTACTTGAGGAGTATAATCTTTAGTCATATTATTTAATCTCTAATTCTATTAATTTTTACAAATTTATTTTTAAAACTATTATCTATAATATCAACTACACCATTTCTCGTGCGGCTTCTGCATGAATACCAAAGTTTAAAACTTAAGTTATCAATCACCTTAGCTTTTTCTTCAATCCATTTAGTTTCTTGAATGCATAAGATATTTATCTTCCAATGATCCATAATATCTACTAATATCATTAATTTACTGGTGAGAGTACTTATATTCTAAGATTTTATCCTGATATTTGTTTTGTAGACTAGCTTATTTGCCCGCTCGTCGATAATGTGAGAACCCATGCTTATTTGACATTACACCCGAGCGCAGGTGCAACGACCCTTACACACTTTTCACTGTATTCAAACCATACAACACGTCGCTTCCAGGAGATGCCCTAGCATTTACACAATGATTTAAATTATTAATGTAATAATATTTTGACAAAAAAATTATGCTGGCTATCGACAATCTTACATAGCCCTCCACTTTTTGCAACCAGAACATGGGAGCCAGCTAGAATTTTTAAACGTATTTGTTCCATCAAGACTTGTAAATTAGCAGACTGTCAGATATTAAAGCTATTGACATTTACTTTGCTCGTTTTCAAGCTAACTTGGAGATAGATATGTAAAATTCAACACACAGTCCTCACTTCATATTGCATTAATATTGAACTATTGATTGTTATAAACAGAAATTAAGAGATCGCCAAATATGAAAGTTATTGACATTTACTTGGCTAGTGTGTAGTCTGTGTTGAGGGGGGGGACGATTGAGTACAGTCGTCTGCATTGCAGTAATCTTGAACGATTGATTGTTAAAAAACCAAAGATTACTTTTTTAAAGTCAATCAACCTCATTGGGACGTTTGAAAATTTTCACTTTAAGATGCTGAGTTGCACTATTAGTGGTTGATGGAATAATTATATTGGTGGAGCATGGCAGTTTGTTTGTTAGCTCTACCTTACCCTCATGGCATTTCGGTCTGCTTTCTTGGGCATCAGAGAAAAGAATGAAGCATGTTCTCAAAGCATAAAGTATGAGTGGACTTTTTGGCTTCAATGTTTAAAGTGTAATGCAAAACACAATTTTGTTTTGCTCGAGTGCGCCCAATATTTGTAATTATTTTGTACTTATATAGGAGAATTTGCCTGGATTGGGCAATCAGTAATGACTGCTTAAGAAACAAAAGAACTGCTCTTCCTTATTGCTAGGCGGAGCTCAGAAGATGCTGCTAGTTCTGCTCTGTCGTGTTTTATAGTCTTTGATACTTTAAACCAAAGCAACACACTACTTTGCAGTGCCCTTCTGTATGCAAGTTTGCATGATAGCATGCTGTGAATAACACTGAGCGCAAAAATGTTCCTCTGCCTTATAAAAATGGTTGCATTGATTAATTTTTTCGTTTCAAGAGCTACTCCATGAAGTGAGTTTGACTAGTTAGTTTCTAAATCTTATGGCATCATTTGAATTGCTCTTCAATTTTTTTGTCATACCTAAAAGTGTGTTTGCATGCCCAAATTTATGCTATTTTTACCCCTTTTGTTTTCTTTAGCTGCAACTGCTAATTCATGCAGGTTACTCCTCAACTTTAAGAAATAATGTCCGCTCTCGATCTTGGGGAGCAGGAATTGGTTGCAGCTTTCACATTGTGCGGTGCTGTATCATCAAGGTTTTTTGTGCTATTCATTGTTATGTTTTGAGTTGTTATCCTGTAGTTGACATTTGTCTTTTCAGGAATTCCGTCTTTTATATGCTTTTAATTGAGAACTTATAAAATTTGATGAATACTTATGTTTCCATCATAAGCTACCTGATCTCTGAAACATGTTGCTTTTCATGTAGTAGACTTTGTGATTGGTAATAGTATAAAGTGATACTGATTCTCCATACATCTGCTCCTGTTTACTTTTTGACAGAAAGGTGGTGGTACTATTGATCTTGAACCTCGCCGTACGCATGTATCTGCAGTGGAGCCAACAATTGCTCCTGTTTCTGCTGAGCGTACAATGACAACAAGGGCTGCAGCTTCGGTAATTCCATAATTATTTAGGTTTACATATGTGATTAAATTTTTTGTTGGCTAAATAGGTTATAGCAGCTTTGGCTAGCTGGAGGATTCCTGATTTTTCATTATTTTAGGCGGTTCAATCATCAGAAAGACAGGGAAATGTACTTTAATGAAAAAAAGACATGATCTTAAGGATTGCTTTTATTTTATGATTTTATATGGTACAAATAGAACGAATCGTTAGTGTTATATGATGATATAAAACAAACATTTTGTTGGTCATTTGCATCTAAAATACATCAACTTTTTCTACAGGTCAATGGGCAGTTATATTCAGATTGTTAGATCTTGATATCTTTCTGTTATAGTTAGGTCAAATTAAAATTTCAATCCGATGGCACCTAATTTAAAATAAGTCTTATTAGTACTTGTTTTTTGTTGTTCTAAAATCTGACTTGTTTGGATTATGAACTAGTGTTGGGAGTTGAGGCCAGAAAGCATTCAGAGAATAGAGTAAGAGTTTGTTCAGGACAACTTATTCACATTTTGCGTCTCAAAATTATTGCTCCATCGCTGTTTTGCTATTGTCTTCTTGCTTTATTTTAAAAAAAAAGGATTGTGATTAGGAGTATAATGTTAGTTGTTGCAAGTAGATTTATTAGAGTTTGATAGCCGTGAGAAAACCATTTTCTAATTTTTTATGGAAGAAAATTAAAATAGTGACAACAGCTTCCCACAAAATCTCAGCAATTGCTTTTACAAACTGCGATAGTCTCCCCAAATGGAGTTGAAGCATGTGTTATTGGATAATTGCGTTGCAATTTCGACCAAGCAAATAGATCTAAATAACTTATTATTCAAAGGTGGGGGTGGGGGTGTTGTGGAACTTATGTTTTATGGTTTCCTTATTTTGTTTTTAGTGTTTAACCAATCTATTATAATTGAAACATTTCTAATAGAGACAAGTCATGATTCAATTTTATTGCAATGAGAAGTAGACATGAGTTTGATAGGACGGGACCTCTAAGTTTTGTGCTATAATTCAACTTAGTTTTGGTTAAAAGTAGGCAATCGTTTGCTAGGACGTCTCTCCTAAGTGATGTATCCCATGTTAATCTAGTTGTGGGTAAAAGTATGTAAATTTTAAGTAAATTTAAAACAGAGATTTGATTTTCTTACAAAAAAATCGAAGAAATTTGAATAAAACAACATAATTGATAGAAAAATTCAGTAGAAATAGACATAAATATTTGTTGGTTTATTAGAAATTAAATGGAGAAAGGAAAAAAATTCAAGGAGACTGAGGAAGATACAAGTTGTGTTTTCGAAATAATAATAATAGTGATGAGGTAGGACACTTGTTGTCAAGAGTTTAAAGTTGTAATTGAAGTAAATAGTGTTACAACAGGTCTTGCTATTGAGATGGTTATTAATGAGGACAATATGGATGTTGTTAATGTTAAATGATGGTTTTAAGAATTATTTAGTTAGTGTTTAAATGATGGTTTTAAAAATTAGTTATTGGATTCAATGGATGAACTATTAATAATTATATTTGTGTAATAAATGATATTTAATGGAGTTCTTTTAAATGTTCTTCTAGGTTCTACTGGGATGGACTGTGAAATGAAATGCTGTAGGTATGGAATACAACAACAACAACAACAACAAAGCCTTAATCCCACTAAGTGTGGTCAGCTACATGAATCCTTTTTCTCCATTGCGTCCTATTTAGTGTGATATTTTAATTTAATTCTAATAAATTAAGATCATTTTTTATACAATAAGCTCAAGTCTTCCTAGGTCTTCCTCTGCCTTTCTTAACACGTCGAATCTAAAACATCTATTCTATTAATTAGATCATCAGATGATCGACATTTAATATGACCAAACCATCTAAGATTACTCTCTCTAATTTTGTCAGTTACTGGAGGTATCACGGGTATATTCATTTCACATTATGTTTCTAAGTGTAAAGCCACACATCCACCTAATCTTTGGGTGATCAAATTATTAAAAGGTGTGAACGATTTAGATATCTTGGTTTAGATATTGTTCAAAGCGATGGCGATATAGATGGGGATGTTATTAGTAGAGTTCAAGTTGGTTGGTTGAAGTGGATGATTACTTCTGGCCTTTTGTGTGATAGAAAAGTATCGCTTAGACTGGAAGGAAAATTTTATAAGATGGCGGTAAGACGTGCAATGCTCTATGGTGCGGAATGTTGGTATTTAAAAGAGAAGCATGATACTAAGTTAAGTAGAAATGGAATATGCAATACAAAAATCAATACAAGAATTTATACATGATTTTAGAGTACCTTAATATCTTATCATGTACAATACATATTTTAAGAAGTAAGAATTCTTAATTATGTAAGGGAACACTAAATCATCGATATATACTGTTCTTGGGTGGAGTGAATTTTTTTTGGAATAATTACATACAGAACATCCAAAACATTTAAATTTACAATCAATCACCATGTGATTTTCTGAATTAAAAAACCAATGAATTTATGCGTGCCATGTTCACAATATTGTGAATTTGATAAAATGAAAAAAATAATGAGCGGGATTTTATGATGAATTTTGATATTTGAGTGAGAATTTGAAAAATGAATGAAGGAGGCTGCTTGATTTGTAAATAACAATGTTTCAAGTGCTCTGGATGTAATTTTCCCTTTTTTATTAGAATTATTATAAGGCGATTTGAGAAGAGACTTTGATTAGATAACTTAGATTTGTTATTATTGTTGTGTTTCTTGAGAATATAAAGTGACAAGTCAAATCAACTAAATGCCCTAAGAAAAAAAAAAAAACTAAATGCCCTAGAATAATGTGGTGAAATTTGAGAGGTGAGGAATTCTTAGTTTTTCAAGATCGATTGCCAAAAAAAGGGTTGTTTTAAATTCCGTAACTAAGACTAATTTGATATGTGATAAATTGGATAGTTTCATTAAACAAATTTTAATAGAAGTTTGATGAGATTTCAGAAACAACTGAAACATTTCTGGGTAGGGTTGATGATTTGGTAAGGATGTGCAAAAGCTTATTTATAAAAAATGCCTTATGTGAAAAATTAAGTATTTTTTCGACATATAATTGTTACAAGAAGCGAAGCTAAGGGTCCATTTTGTTGGGTGTATGATTGACTTATTTCATTCAGAAACAAGGGTTTTAAGTATTTTTTTGTTTATTTGAAGAATTTGGAATGCGGAGTAAAATATAAAACAATTCTAATGTTCACCCTATTATTCATTTTTTTTGTGTATTTCAAATTCAATCGATTTGGCTAGACTCTATTGGTATCATTCTAGGGTTCCTAAAAATTGTTCAAGAATCTAATTTAGTAAGGAGTTGATTGTGGAATAACAGGGGGGAAATTTTGCTAGTACGATAGAGTTTGGAAGGATATAGAAGTTCGGCAACACTTTGGGCTGAAAGCAACATACAAATTGTGAAATGACTATTTTGATAAGGCACAACTATAGAGAAAGATCCACCGTATGTTCCTGAACAATTTAGAGTCACACCACTTGCAAATTAATAGGATACAATATTATTTAGGGCAAAAAATCAGAGAACATGATCTTCAATTATATAACCTAAAGCAAATGTGTCCAAATGACACAACAACATATCTAAATATCTCCAAGAAAAAGTAACCATAATTAATAGATTAATTATATAAAATAGGGCCATAAGAGAGCGGCCCAACCCCATGGGGACTAAAAAAGGTGAATGAGTCCTTCAATTTGACTGGCTCTTCCACTTTTCGGAGTTTTGCTTCAGCGGGAGGAGGATGGGAATCGCATCTCACCCTAACAGCGCTTGCATCGTTCTTCCCGTGTGGAAGGGGCATCGTCTTCATCACTTAAAATCTCTGAATCGTCATTGAATGACAGAAGCTCGATGATTTTAATTGTAGAAGAGATATTGCAGTCTTTGGGTAAATCAATTTTGTAGACATTATCATTAATCTTTTTGGTGATTTTGAATGGACCATTAGGTCTAGGCTCGAGCTTCTCAAAAAAATCTACAAAATATTTCTCATTCTTCAATATGATTCAGACCAAGTCACCTTTCCTTAAGGCTAGAGCATTCTTGGATTTATTTGCCTATTTCTGATATTTAGCATTTTGCTTAACAATTTCTATCTACACATGTTTATATAATGTTTGAATCAATTTTTTGTTTTAAGCTCAGCAATTGAAAGTATCAACTCTAGTATTCCATATAAAATTTGAAATAGGCTATGTTCTTTTGATTGGCTAATGGACCGATTGTAAGCAAGCACAAGTTAATAAAGTTTCAAATCCCATTGCCTGATATTCTTGTCGACAAAACAATTGAAGAGGTTTACCAAGCTGTGATTTGCAATTTCTATTTGCCCATCTGTGGATGTGCCACTGAACTAAGTTGAAAATTTATACTTTTAACTTGTCTCTTTAGTTATTCTAAATGTGTTGAGAAATTTCACGTCACTATTTGAAGTGATGGTCTTAGGTATTACATTAAAACAAACCATCTCCTTGAAATATAAGTTTGTGATGTGTAATGCATTTCATTGCTTTGTAGAGTGGAATAAATTGTGTTATCTTGAAGAAGCTGTCTATCATTACTATAACAGAATCCTTCCTTAGCTATGTCCGGGAAAGTTAACTACAAAATCCATGCTCACATTCGTCCAGGGTATCTTTCGCATGAAAAGGGGGTGTATAAAGCTAAATTTTGTCCTCAAAACTTCGCCAGATAACTTACCTTGCACTGCGTAACATCTCTTTTCACATTTCATACTATTCTGGGTCAATTAAATTCTCTTTTATTGGAAAAAGAGTTTTTCCCTATTGAAGTGTCATGCCATGCCTCCATTATAACACTACTATAAGATTATTTTTTAAAGTAAACTCCTGATAGCATAAAGCATGTTTCAATAGAATAAGTAGCCATATGATATATGGAACAACTCATATGGTCTGTCTTGACAACAAAAGCACAAATATCTTAGAAATCCTCATCA